CATTCTCAACATCTGCTCACTCTGAAAATGGGTTTGGTTTGGGGATGGGTTTTCGGTTTTGTTTTTACTGCTTGATTTTCAGGTCTGTTCAAATGCATTGTAGGTTAAGCGGCACATGTGTGAGTCAGCCGTGGGGACATCTATTCTAAGCGAGCTTCAGGAAGGGGTCCAGAGTGCCCTGGGTTGTCAGGAATCCAGCCTCTTATCCCTCTTGGGTTCCCTGGCTCTTGTCTGCTCCAGTTTCCCAGGAACTCCTGGGAAATGAAGCCGGAAAGGGCTGCTGGGCAGCTGTTTATGTTTGGAATAGTTTGGCTGTTTCTCTTCCTCAGCCCAGCCTGTGCTTGCTTCTTCTCCAGCAGCTCCTCACCGCTGCTCCCTAGGCCTGTGCTCTTGACGAGGCCCCACGCCCTCCTTTTATGAACTGCCCTGAACTGCGTTTCCTTGGTTCTGATCCAGCCCCGTCATTGTGACCCTGCTCAAACAGGCTCCGTGCAGCTGTAAAGGCTTCTCTCCCTTCATAAGGCTCTTCATTTCATCCTTGGACTGCTCGGCCCTTCAAAGAGAGGACTCACCAGTGTCAGAAGCGGTCTGCCTCTGTGCACCCGTGGCTGGGGAACATGGGTGGGTGGGTACTGTTGGCAGGTTTTCCGCAGGCAGCTGCAGTGAACGGAATGACGGACTATCATGACAGTGTGCTCTGGCACGGCGTGGCTTTTTGCCTTCCGCTGTGAGCAAGGCACACGGCCACCCTTGGCAATTGCGGCCATCAGTGGCTCCACTGATAAGGTGCCCACGGGGGAATTGCCACGTAAGAGGACGTGCCTGACCAGAAAAGAGGACAAAAGGGGATCTGGTTCCCCAGACTCGTTTTTGCAACTGTTGGGCACTTTGGCTGCCTTCTCCAACTGCTCCGTTCTCGGCTCCCGATGAAGTGCCAGTGCGGCTTGCAGCTGAGAATGTGTGCATCGACTCCCGTGTCCCCCTGGCTTTCTGCTGCTCAGCAGGCTCATGACGTCTTCCCGTTCACAAGAAACGCACCGGTGGATTGGCGAGAGGCTGTGTAGAGTCGGAGCACGTCTTTGGAGATGGGGCATCACTGATGCCGCAGAACACAAGGGGCGGAAGATACCTCAACGTCTCGGGTGAGCTCGAGGACAATCCCTGGTGGACCACCCAAGGGCAGGATGAGGGATCAAACAGACTTTCTTGCAACCTTATTGTCTCCTCGCGGGTGTAATAGAGCGTGACTTACTATGTTGCAATTTCTACTGGGGATATCTAGAGGGAACTGATTAGACTCTTGCTAAGATGCCCAGTAAGACAATTACTTCAAAGTATCTTATTGGTAAGCTGACAATCACCATGAAAAGTCTTATTCATTCATTCATTTTGCCGCAGTTAAATAGACAGCCCGGTTAAAATATTCTGATTGTTGAAAGCAGGAATGCTGAATCTCAGGTGTGTGTGTGTGGGGGGGGCAGATTTTGCCCTCCTGGGGCCACAACCCAGCCCTTCATGATTCCACCAATGGTCCCTCCCCTCTTATCTTCAGCCCACCCACCATGGGAATGTGAATTGGAATTTCTGCATCCCTGGTTTAGATGGTATGGTTCCATTTGTGTGCTTTTCTCCTGCCCTCTCTCTGACTGTGTGTGTGTGTGTGTGTGTGTGTGTGTGTGTGTAAATATAGATTGGACACAACACTCACAAAGACCTTTGCATTTTCAATCAGATAATGGATCATAATCGATGGACTGGTCTAAATAGTCTGACTCAGCAAGAAAAGCTCAGTGTTCTTAAGCAAGCATGCAAAAACTCAAGATCATTTTATATAGACCAATCCTTATGCTTTTGTTGTTTTGAAATCCTGACTAAGCACTTTTTAAAAAGAAAACAAAGGAAGGAATTATGCTATACAAGGCTGAAGCTGGTCCATCCCATATTGACCTTAAATGAGATGTTTTAGGCTGTTAAGTAAACTCAATCCACAAAACATTTGTTACAGTCATTCTAGGACTCTTCTTCAGTACTAATACTGAGAAAAACTAAAGAGGGAGGCAAACAGAGTATGAACGTCTGCAGTTTGTAGCATCTCCAACTTGATCATAGAAGCTGTAGGACAGGCTTGATTGGATGAGTCTTCCTCTGGTCGGCACACGATGCTTTCAGGATGCAGCAGCTACTGGGACAAAGCAGCAAGCTGGTTGCGTCTCCACGCCCATTTTCTGAAAATACAAGCCTCCCACGTGGATTTTGCACCTGGACTCACCCGGCAGAGCCTGCCTCATCCTCTCTGCAACCCACTGGAAGACTCGCAACCACAGGCGTGGGAGTTCCATCCACATGCAGTCCCCTCCCTCCGGCTCCTCCCGTTTTACTCAATGCCCAGCCTGGAGAAAAGTTCCAGAGAACTCAGAAACAAAGCAAAACACCCCCACCCTGGTTTGCTTGCTTGCTTAGCAATAGCTGGCTTGGGGCCGCAGCGATAAATTTTGAAATGCTGCCGCTCATCAAGTCCACCAGCCACACCGCCAGTGAATCTGAAACGCGGGCAGCGGCGTTGCGGCGTTGAGGCATGTTGGCAAGCCACTGCCAGCGGCCAGGTCTCCACCAGGAGCTCATCCTGAGCGAAGCTTGTGGGCTTTAATCACCCATTCCAGGAGCAGCCGCCCCGAGATGCTTTAGATTAAGGCAGGACACAGCAAATGCCCGTTGGGGGAATGTCCAAGCAACCGCAAGGACGGCAGCTAGACTCAGAGGCAAGAGGGAAGGCTTGGTGGGGTGGGGAGAAGAGCAGAAGAGGTAAGCATTGCTGAGAAGTGAAGTGCTGGCACAGCTTCCCAGATTACCCTGCTGTGCGTTCTTTTTAATTGTTTCCCCCACCCTAGCCTGTGATCAGCCCTGCTCGCTGCATCTTTCCAGTTCTCTGTGCCACAAATGGGAAGAAAAGAGAGAGACCCTTGTGGCCAAGCTTTTGGGGAGTCGGTTAGTTTCTGCTTGCAAAGGTTGCTCAGATGAGTCAGTGGTAGGCCGTATGTGGCCTTACAGATGTTGCTGGGCTGCAACTTCTATCATCCCACACGTGATGGCTGGGAATGATGGGTGTGGCCGTTCAGGAAGCGGACAGTGTGATGTTGGCCCCGGCTGTGGAGGACTCTCCCTGATGAGGCCTGCCAGGAACCAGCGATGTCCCTGTTGGTGGTGCCAGGTCGAGACGTAAGAGCCATGCTGGGTCAGAACCTCCAGGGTCCACTGTTAGCCAGCAGTCCGTGGGAAACTCTCCAGCAGGGGCGGGTCGTGTCCCCCATGTTGTTCAACATCTGCCTGAATGCAGAACTGAGTGGGGACAACTGGTGATCCAACATACATTGTCCCACGAATGCTGGCCACGTGCAGCTGTTTCTCCATTTCACCTTCATCCGGTGAAACGATGCATGTGTGAAACTGGTGCCCACTGCTGACAAGGGGCTGGCTGAGTGCCGGAAAACTGAAACTCAGTCCAGGCAAGACCAAGTTGCGGTTAGTGGACATTTGGATGGAGGGTGCTTAACCTGACCTGCTGGGGCTGCATCCCCCAAACCACCTCGGAAGTCCTCTTCCAGCCGTCTTTGTCCCTTGAGGCTCGGGTGGCCTCAGCAAAACAAATGGCCTTCCCTCAGTTTTGGCCAGTGGCCCAGAGATGCCACTTTCTGGACAGATTTGGTGATCTGCATTGGTCTTCTCTAGGCTAGACTACTGCAAGTCTTTCTGTGTGGGGCTGCCCTTGAATACTGCTCAGAAGCTGCAACTGGTGCAAAACACGGCAAACTGACTCATGACCAGAACCAGAAGGTCCAGAGATAGAACACTGATTTTGAACTGTTTGCATTGGCTGCCTCTCTGCTTCCAAGCCTGATTCAAGTGGTCTGAATCTGCAAAGCACTTTGGGACCAAGGTACGGGCTGGAACTCCCCTCCGAATCACAATCTGCACGGATGCTCCACAAGCCTCCAATGCAATGGAGACCCAGAGGAGGGCCTTCCCTGTGGCAGCCCCCCAGTTAGAGAACAGTCTCTCCACTCAGCCCCCCTGGTCCCAGCTTCTCCCTGTTTTCAGCCCCAGATTAAAACTGAACTCTGTGTCAGGGCATTGGACAGCTCTGAATATCACACCGGGAAAGGAGGCGCATCAGCCGGTGAACCCGTCTTGTTGTTATGTGCCCTCCGGTTGTCCCCGGCTTAGGGCAACCCTGTGAATGGAAGCCCTCCAGAAGGTCCTCTCAGTGCAGCCCTGCAAATTCCAGGCAGAGGCTTCCTTCAGGGGGTCCATCCATCTCTTCGTTGTCTTGCTTTTGATCGCCCGCCTTAGAGTTTCCCTCACACAGTTCCCTTCTCCAGGGATTCTTGCCTTCTCATGATGCAGAACCTGCCTTGGTCGCTTAAAATTCGGGCTTCTTTTCCCCCCGAAACCTCCTGTGTTTATCGTATTGATATGCCGTAGCGCATTTGGTGCCCTTGTAGGAGTTAGTTGCCTGCACCAGCCGGAGAGCGACTGGGGGTTGCAGAACTGCATTGAGTATAGAAATGAGGTGCGCCCTCCCGGGCAACCCCCCCTCCGCTCCCCGCAATCCTGGCCGTGGCGCAGGGCGCGGCCGGCGCGAGTGCATGCACTGCCCCGCCGCATTTCGGGGCGGTCCAGCCGGGGGGTCCGCCGCGCCCGCGGGGAGCAAATTCCGCCGGGCGGCCGGCTCCCTCCCTCCCTCGCTCGCGCCCGCAGCGCCCGCCAGGGACCCCGCGGCCCTCGCGGCCCCGCAGCTCGGCGGCAGCGCTCGCAGCGCGGCCCGCGCCCCGCACCGGCTGCGAGGGCGCGCGGGGGCGGCTATGAGGTGTGGCGTCCCGGGCAACGCCCGGGCCAT